AAATTTAATAAGGACAAATGCAAAGTACTATAAACAGGATGGAATAATCAATTCATAGAATCATAGAATATAAGGGTTGGAAGGGACCCCAGAAGGTCATCTAGTCCAACCCCCTGCTCAAAGCAGGACCAATTCCCAGTTAAATCATCCCAGCCAGGGCTTTGTCAAGCCTGACCTTAAAAACCTCTAAGGAAGGAGATTCTACCACCTCCCTAGGTAACGCATTCCAGTGTTTCACCACCCTCCTAGTGAAAAAGTTTTTCCTAATATCCAATCTAAACCTCCCCCACTGCAGCTTGAGACCATTACTCCTCGTTCTGTCATCTGCTACCATTGAGAACAGTCTAGAGCCATCCTCTTTGGAACCCCCTTTCAGGTAGTTGAAAGCAGCTATCAAATCCCCCTCATTCTTCTCTTCTGCAGGCTAAACAATCCCAGCTCCCTCAGCCTCTCCTCATAACTCATGTGTTCCAGACCCCTAATCATTTTTGTTGCCCTTCGCTGGACTCTCTCCAATTTATCCACATCCTTCTTGAAGTGTGGGGCCCAAAACTGGACACAGTACTCCAGATGAGGCCTCACCAATGTCGAATAGAGGGGAACGATCACGTCCCTCGATCTGCTCGCTATGCCCCTACTTATATATCCCAAAATGCCATTGGCCTTCTTGGCAACAAGGGCACACTGCTGACTCATATCCAGCTTCTCGTCCACTGTCACCCCTAGGTCCTTTTCCGCAGAACTGCTGCCTAGCCATTCGGTCCCTAGTCTGTAGCTGTGCATTGGGTTCTTCCGTCCTAAGTGCAGGACCCTGCACTTATCCTTATTGAACCTCATCAGATTTCTTTTGGCCCAATCCTCCAATTTGTCTAGGTCCTTCTGTATCCTATCCCTCCCCTCCAGCGTATCTACCACTCCTCCCGGTTTAGTATCATCCGCAAATTTGCTGAGAGTGCAATCCACACCATCCTCCAGATCATTTATGAAGATATTGAACAAAACCGGCCCCAGGACCGACCCTTGGGGCACTCCACTTGATACCGGCTGCCAACTAGACATGGAGCCATTGATAACTACCCGTTGAGCTCGACAATCTAGCCAGCTTTCTACCCACCTTATAGTGCATTCTTCCAGCCCATACTTCCTTAACTTGCTGACAAGAATACTGTGGGAGACCGTGTCAAAAGCTTTGCTAAAGTCAAGAAACAATACATCCACTGCTTTCCCTTCATCCACAGAACCAGTAATCTCATCATAAAAGGCGATTAGATTAGTCAGGCATGACCTTCCCCTTGGTGAATCCATGCTGGCTGTTCCTGATCACTTTCCTCTCATGCAAGTGCTTCAGGATTGATTCTTTGAGGACCTGCTCCATGATTTTTCCAGGGACTGAGGTGAGGCTGACTGGCCTGTAGTTCCCAGGATCCTCCTTCTTCCCTTTTTTAAAGATTGGCACTACATTAGCCTTTTTCCAGTCATCCGGGACTTCCCCCGTTCGCCACAAGTTTTCAAAGATAATGGCCAATGGCTCTGCAATCACAGCCGCCAATTCCTTCAGCACTCTCGGATGCAACTCGTCCGGCCCCATGGACTTGTGCACGTCCAGCTTTTCTAAATAGTCCCTAACCACCTCTATCTCCACAGAGGGCTGGCCATCTCTTCCCCATTTTGCGATGCCCAGCGCAGCAGTCTGGGAGCTGACCTTGTTAGTGAAAACAGAGGCAAAAAAATTGCACAAATACAAAATGAGAAATGACTGCCTAGGAAGGAGCACTTCAGAAAAGGATCTGGGGATCATAGTGGATGAGAGTCGTCAATTTAATAATGTTGCAAAAAACCCACCATAACTGTGGGATATATTAGCAGCAGTATTGTAATAATCATGCCATGAGAATTAATTCTTCCACTCTACTCAGGACTAATAAAGCCTCAACTTGAATACTGTGTCCAGTTCTGAGCACCACATTTTGGGAGAGATGTGGATAAACTGGAGAAAGTCCAGAAGACAGCAACAAAAATTATTAAAGGTCTAGAAAATATGACTTATAACGAAAGACTGAAAAAAAAACCTGGGTTTGTTTAAGCTGGAGAAAAGAAGACTGAGAAGGGAAATAACAGTCTTCAAATACATAAAAGGTTGTTATAAAGAGGAGGGTGATAAATAGTTCTCCTTAACCAGTGAGGACAGGACAAGAAGTAATGGACTTAAGTTGCAGCAAGGGAGATTTACGTTAGACATTAAGAAAAACTTCCTAACTGTCAAGGCGGTTAAGAACCGAAACAAATTACCTAGGGAGATTATGGATCTCCATCCCTGGAGGTTTTAAGAACAGGTTAAATAAATATCTTTCAGGAATGGTCTATATAATAGTTAGGCCTGTCTCAGTGCAGGGGACTGGACTAGATGACCTATCAAGGTCATTTCCAGTCCAACATTTCTATGATTCTCCACCAAATCATGTGGGTTCCGCAGAAGCAGATGTAGCACTGCCCCCTTCAGCAGCTTTTTCAAAATTCCTAGCTACACATTTAAGCACAAAAGGGGCTTTTCCAAAAATTATCAGCCCCACAAAATTTCACATAAAAATAGATGTTGGATGCAGAGGAATGAATGCAAAAAAAAAAAAATCAAGAAAAAAAATGTAGTTTCACAACCAAAATTGCTACAATGCTTTTGACCAGCTTTACTCTGTTTATTATGGTCAGTCTCAACTTCATTATAAATAGTCAGCCAGCTGTCCTTCCTCTCCCACATTCCCCTCCCCACTCACTGCTCCTTCTCGTCTTAAAGGAACTTATAGGTAAAATGCCTTCTTTCCCCACTTCCCAAGATTCATCTATGTGAATGTTTCATTCCCCGCCCCCCTCCCCCCCACCACCACCCCATCACTGCTGTCCTGGTTTCTCCACTTTAAAAATCTGATCACCGTACACCTGTATTGTAGAAGGTAGCTCCCTATCAGTACCTTGTTACTTTATAAACAAAGAAGAATATAATCAGAAACACAAATTTTGGAATAAACTCATCAATGTTTGTATTTTTAAAAAAACTATTTAAAAAAATTAAATTGGTTGAGGAAAGAGAATCGGAAAAAGTAATCCGAAAGTACAAAAATAAAATGTTGGGACTGCTCTTTAACTACAACGCAGCCAAACAAATGTAAATTAAGTGTGGTAAAAACGTGCAGCTGGAATCACAAGTTAGGTGCCAAGCTTAAGTTTGATTATTTTAAAATAACTGAGTGGCTGTATTGTTTAGTGAGTCTAGGAGGTAGGTCCCTGGGGTTCTATTCCAAACTTCACTACTAACTGGTGTGTGACCTTAGCCAATTCATTTAGTCTCTCTCTATATATACATCTGTAAATTGAGGATAATAATGTGTATCAACCTTTGTAAAATGTTTCGAGATTCTTAAGTTAAAGGCACTGTGTAAGTGCAAACTATCAGAATTATTCAATTCCAGTTTTGTTCAATATCTTCATTAATGATCTGGAGGATGTCGTGGACTGCACCCTCAACAATGAAGTGAAGTGAGCTGTAGCTCACGAAAGCTCATGCTCAAATAAATTGGTTAGTCTCTAAGGTGCCACAAGTACTCCTTTTCTTTTTGCGAATACAGACTAACACGGCTGTTACTCTGAAACCTGTCAACAAGGACAAGTGCAGAGTCCTGCATTTAAGATGGAAGAATCCCATGCACTGCTACAAACTAGGGACTGAGTGGCTAGGCAGTAGCAGTTCTGCAGAAAAGGACCTAGGGGTTACAGTGGATGAGAAGCTGGATATGAGTCAACAGTGTGCCCTTGTTCCCAAGAAGGCTAACGGCATTTTGGGCTGTATAAGTAGGAGCATTGCCAGCAGATCGAGGGACGTGATCATTCCCCTCTATTCAGCATTGGTGAGGTCTCCTCTGGAGTACTGTGTCCAGTTTTGGGCCCCACACTACAAGAAGGATGTGGAAAAATTGGAAAGAGTCCAGCGGAGGGCAACAAAAATGATTGGGGGGCTGGAGCATATGACTTATGAGGAGAGGCTGATGGGACTGGGATTATTTAGTCTGCAGAAGAAAAGAATGAGGGGGGATTTGATAGCTGGTTTCAACTACCTGAAAGGGGGTTCCAAAGAGGAAGGATCTAGATCTCAGTGGTAGCAGATAACAGAACAAGGAGCAATGGTCTCAAGTTGCAGTGGGGGAGGTTTAGGTTAGATATTAGGAAAAACTTTTTCACTAGGAGGGTGGTGAAGCACTGGAATGCATTACCTAGGGAGGTGGTGGAATCTCCTTCCTTGGAGGCTTTTAAGGTCAGGCTTGACAAAGCCCTGGCTGGGATGATTTAGTTGGGGATTGGTCCTGCTTTGAGCAGGGGGTTGGACTAGATGACCTCCTGAGGTCCTTTCCAACCCTGATAGGCTATGATTCCATGAGTTATAAAATTAAATTTTTTAAAACTATTAGAATTTTAAAATACTGTACATGTAACACACATTTACAATGGAAACAACAACTCAGCATCATTTATGGCATAGTGATACTAACCACAATACCATTATCAAGGTAATGAAAAAATTAACAATTAAAATGGTATGAATATATTGTAGGTCAGAATGGAAACCAATAAAGTCATAAAGCAGCCTTTGGGGAGTGAAAGCAGGAGTTATAAAGCTGAAAGAAGAGAAAATGAAGAGACCATATATAAGATGTGTAGGAAAGAAAAAGAAACATAAGGAAGAGTAAAACATGAGAAATGTAGTAAATAAATTAATGTTTTTGCCACTGAAGTGTGATAGATTAGCCTCCGCTCTACCTCTCCTGAATCAATACTTACAAGTGCCTTTTTTTTAATCCAAAAAAGGTTCCTGCAGCAACTCCTTTCAGTGCCAAGTACTGCAGATCTACCATAAGCAAATTCACAGAGGACTGCTTAAACTGAAGAGTACAGTTAAAGCTTCTGTTCACATTATTTTAATACCATTAAACTATTTTATTAGTAGACTGTACCTTATTTTTCATGAACTTTGAGTGACTCTTGTAAACTTCTATTTGTTTGATCTCTTCTTCTCGGTCCTCTATATTCAGAACTCCGTTTGTCTTTAACATCTGTATTTCATCTTCGAGATCCCTTATATTGCGTTCAAGTGAAGCTATTTTTGTGTCCTGGATTAAAAATTTAAAAAATAAAGAGAGAGAATGTTTTGTAATTATATGAAACCTGGATGTTAAAAATGCAATATTTGTAGCAACGTAGTACAATATTAATACACCAGCACAAGAAACTGGAACAAATTCTGCTCTCATTTATATTGATGCAGGGGTGCTGGAATAATTTGTATAGTGCGGGTGCTGAGAGCCATTAAACCAAACTGTCAATCCTCTGTATAACGGAAACCACTTCAAGCCAGGGGGAGCTGCAGCACCCTCAGTAGCCCAGTTCCAGCACCTATGATATGTGTATTGATGTAAATCCTAGGTAATTCCACTGACAGTAGCTTAAGGGAAAACAGAATTTGGACCTCTGCTCTCAAACGAAAGACAGCACAATGCTTGATTTTATTTTAGTATCTATTAAGAATGAGCATTTTGATGCTCATGCACAGTCTGGGCAAAATCCTGCCCTACTTCCTAGAAGGCACACAAAAGAAGGACAATAGATGAGGATAGCAGGGCCAGACGTATATGGAAATACCTTATAGGCCTTGCAACTACTTAGGGCTATCAGGAGCTGGCTGGCCTCTCAATCTAGTGGTCTCTCGAACACAAGGTTACAATCCTGTCCTGCTGTTTTGAGAAACAAGAGGAGTCTCCTTATGTCCATTTCCTCCACTGGTATACCCACATATAGCCAAGGGCAGGATATATACTTTTCATCCTACAGTCTCAAAGAGCTTTACAAACAGTATGTAACCAAGTTAATATGCAACAGAAATGCCACCTCATATACCACGGATTATATGTCACCTCATAGACTGGTTATCAGCTTGTGCCAGTACAGCACTTAAAAAATCCAGTGATCCAGCTCTCATTTTCATTTGTTGTCTGGAAACTAAAAAAATCTACTCACTTGGGGATGGATAGAGATCATTAGGACTTATAATACCTTCTCACACAACTTTCACTTTGAAAGAATATAGCAAAATGACTCAGTTGGCAATCTGTTTTCAAACATCTATTAGGGAACAAATTCTCCATGGATCAAGCGCAGAAAAATTAAGTCCAAGAATACAAAGTAGCCAAGACATATTAAAAACTGGGATAAAATCCTTGCCCCACTGAAGTCAATGGCAGAAGGCCTATTGACTATAACGGAGTCAGGATTTTATCCATTTTCTCCCACAAAAAATACAAGTTCAACCAAACCTTTTCCCAAGACAACTAAATTTGAACCTCTGTAGTAAAATAAAACTTTGTTTCTGTTTTCAGTTGACTGTACTGCCTGTCTTTAGCCAGAAGCTGAAGTTCTGCAATATTAAAAAAAGGTTATTCCTACACTACCTACAGACTGTCTTAAAGTAGTCAGCACCCAAACTTTTGCATGATAGCAAAGCCTGTTTTCAGGATACGGTCAGGCTAAATTTGCAATTTCAGAGGTTGGATAACCTGGATACAGCTCTGATAAGCATCTGAACTTTTGATTACTAACCCAAAATGAAACTTTGAACCTTTCGAATTTCACCAACTATTGTTATAAACAAGAGACTGCCTTGTGAAATATTACCATTAGATTACTAACCCAAAATGAAACTTTGAACCTTTCGAATTTCATCAACTATTGTTATAAACAAGAGACTGCCTTGTGAAATATTACCTTTAATGGATAGACCCCAACTATCAACTGGCCAATATTGCCTCTAATATCTGCAATAACATATGGCCACTGCTTGAATCTTTAGAGTGCTACAAGCTATTGGAAAGTCTCTTACATAGCAATAGCTAGTTGGCAAGAGAAGCACAGAACGTCAGCTTATTTGACATCTTCTGACGGGTTATGACATCAGGGCTGTACCCATCGATGGAGACATTCCATATCTGGTAGTAGATGTTTGATGGTACCTGCTTGCTGGATCCGAAGACCTATTTTCAAAGTTATCCTTACAATTTAGAGGGCCTTTCTTCTCAGTAATTCCACTTAGTGATAAGGGTTGTATATCTTGAAAAGAGGGACACTTATTGTCAGGAAAGTGGGAATAGTTGCTGAATACCTATCCTTACTCTAAATTTTGGGGATTATAGATTTGATTGTGTATGTCACTGTTCTAAAATAAGATAAATCGAGACACTTATTTAGGAGATTAATTTGGGATTTAGGATACTGACTTTCCATTTTTGAAAATATTGCTATTAATTAGCCAAAATGCAATATAGTATTATAATGTCTGTCATATGTACCTATATTACTCCCTCTTAAAAAGATTTTTCTATAATCCACATGTTGTTGGGTCACTGCGCCCTGTACAGCACTGTGGCAGAGCATGGGGCTGCAATGGCTCTGCCTCAGTTTTCCCCATCAAGGTTTCCAGTCCACTCTGGTGGCTTATGACTCTGGCCAAGTTACTATGAAAGTTCAACACCTGCATTTCTGGGGTAGAAAAGTCCAAAGTCACATCCCAAAACAAACATGAAATAAATGACTCTCAATCCCAGCTATGCTTAGTTCTCAACCATTCTGAAGTTATTCACCGATTCACCCTCTAGCCTCTGCTCTCAGACCTCCCCCACTTCCCTTCAGGTAGCTTAACCACCATGGCAGATCCCAAATACTCCCATGTTAGGCATGCCCTCCCTCTTCTGAGGCTCTTTCTGGCTGCAGCCTTATTCAGTTTTTGGCTCCAGCCAGGTTTCTACCGCAAGTGAGAGCAGTTGCTCTCCTTCCCAGCCAGCTGTACCTGAGCAAGCTCTCCTCTTTTCAGCCCCTTCCCTCAGTTCTGACATCCACTACAGGTGCAGTGGTTGGGGATGATGTTGCTCATTGCAATTAATTAATCCTTTCCAGCCCAAGTGGGGTTTGTAAACCCCATCATACCAAGCAAAAGGAAGTTGTGAGAGGCCAGATCACTGAGTATTAGTGCAGCTGTTTTGTGCTGCCCAGCAACAGATTCAGCCCATAAAGCCAGCTTAACCTGCCACAGGAGAATCACCCTAGTGTAAGGTATCATCCAGTAGCATAGAGCCAATAGAGTGGCTTCAACACCATTCTCCTTCTGTACAGCTGTGTCTGGGGCTTCCTGTGGCCTGCAAATTTCTGTCCTGGAGATTTTGGCAGAAATCACATTTTAGAGCAGCCTTCATGTTGATTTAATTTACACTTAGGGACAAGCCCAGCACAAACTCAGAATGAAATGCAAAGGCAAACTGTATACCATCCTTGTATACACCCCCACACCCCTTCTGAACTGTACCATATGCAAGATGAGCTGGCCACAGGATCTGGCTCAGGGTTTTTACACTGGCAAAGAAGACTCTTTTTATAGTGTATTACTATGCACATATTTTATTTTATTTTTTTTAAGTACAAAGCTATGTGATGTGCATTTCCCAGTCTAAGTAAGCCGATATTAACTGAAGACTACAGAGTCATTGAGCCACTCTCTAACAGAAGAACACTAAGTAGACCAGTAAGGGCACTGAGCAGATCTTGTATGGTGAGGACATTGGTGAGTGATTGCATCCTCAGCACATGGATGACTACCAGGTATGCTACACATTGGTCGCAGTAGTACCATATTCGGGGTCTTAATCTGTTTTACGCATAATGTAAATCTTCTTGTGATATCTGATTCATTACTCCATTTTAACTGAGAGGAGAGAAATTTAATTCATTAGCAACAGTAGCAAGCAACCACCATATTTAACAATCATATTTTCTACATATGAGTTAGGAAGTTCCTTATAACATTGCACAATAGCTGGAGAAAACAGCTGTTTCCTATTCTTCCAATAACCCAGCAATACTGCATGGCTCAGCCTCCACTTCCATTTTGGGAGAGAAGATTATTTCCTCCTTGATCACCTTCCTCATAATTCCCACAGAAACCTGTTCATTCAGGCTTGCTACTCTGACATGCAGTGTTTTAGGAGGCTAATCTTCAAGAATGACAAGGTAACAGTAAGAATATTTTCTATTTTTAATACTATGACTCTAAGATTGAATATCTGGTTCTCCTTCCATGGAAGGAATATTTCTACATTCTACTTGTAGATTATATCAGGTTTCGCTCCCTTTGGTGATGACTCTCACAAACAGTTATGTAACAGAATTAATTATAAAAACAACTGTGCGGACATTCCCATCTTAGTATCGAAAATGGTGGGTGGTTTGTTTTTTGCGCCTTTTCTTCCTTCTGTTTAAAACAAAATGTCTTGTTAAAGACCAAAGTCACACAAAATGTTACATCCTGGAAAATTTGTGATTTTATCTAATTAATTCCCTTTGTATTTAATCATGTAGGCAAAATGCCATCCAAATTACCTAGTTTATTAGGTGAAACACTCTAATATGACATGCTTCCATAGACAGAATCATAGCTTATCACCATGGTACCTAAATCTTGACGAGAGGATCAACATTATTCATATTCGCAATGAGAAGAGCTTGGAGAATTAAGGTACTGAAAGAAGCAAACAGAAAAATCTCTTTGCCATTATATTACCTACTCAGATAAAACTCATCTATTATTAGGCATTTATTGTGCTATCTGCAGAACATTTTTCTGAAAGGCTTTTGTGATGAAGGAAAGAACAAAGTGTGTGGTGGAGTGTAAGACAAAGAAAAACGGAGGTGCCTGTTGATAGAATTCGTCTTGTTTTGGTGAAATCATCTCCCCCAAAAAAGGGAGTGGGGGCAAAAGAGCCACCAATTATCATGGTTATGATCAGCCTTAAGAAGGGACAAGGGTGAACAAACAAACAACTACTGTCGTACCCTATAACATGGAAAATTCCGTAAAGGAGCAAACCAATTTGCTCCAGGCAACCCCACATCCTATTTCTAGCATCTTCTTTTCCCCGTTACTCCAGAGTACGACCAAATAAAAAAAAAAAAAAACCCTGTAACTGTGTTTTACTAATTCTGCAATTCTATCCTGGGTGGGGCGGGGGTTACATCTCCCTACTTTCACCGTCATTGATTAGTTTATGCCCTGCGGCATAAAATTTAACTC